TTACAGCATTCTTTGTTGTTTAGACTTGTCTATAGAATTACCTTCATTGCCTTTGCCCTTCAATTGTATGTGGTTCTATTTTTGGACTCTATCCTGTCCCACTGATTTATTTCTTTATACTTATGGTAGTACCACACGGTTTTGATTATTATAGTTTATAGTAAGCCTTCAAACTGGTAATATGAAGGATTTCCCTTTGCACTTCTAAGAATGTTTTGGTTATTCTGTCCTTTGTATTTGTAAATAAATTTTAGAGTCAGTTTGACTGTTGGCAAAAAAAAAACCTGATGGGATTTTAATTGGGATTGCTTTGAAGATTCAATAGATTAAGGAGAATTGACATATTAACAGTATCGAGTGTTCCAATCTACAAACATGATATCTTTCTCCATTTATTTAGCCGCTGTTTAATTTCTCTTAGCAAAGTTTTATAGTTTCCTAGTTTTAGTGCAGTTTTCAAATTCTTGCATACCTACCCTTTACTAAATTTGTTCGTAAGTATTTTATGTGTTCCTCTCTGCCCCTGTCAACCCAGGATTGTCCATGATTTTCATCTGACAGCAAATAGAATAAGGGCTTGAGTAATACGAAAGAGGGTGAGGTTTGGGGGGAAGATGGAGGCAAGTATTATGGGGAGAAATATAGTGTGGCGAGACCGAAAATCTCAAGCTGTACCTGCGGCGTGAAGGAGAGTTATGGTCTGGACAACAAGACGATAAATGACAATGGATGCACCTAGTTCAGCAGCTTTCTTTGTTTTCCTGTCAGGTCTTATTCTATCAGATAGGCAATATTTAAAGTTTTCACGAGAGTAATATTGGCTGGATTGAACAGATAATTGAATGTCTGTCATTAATAAACCACCATACTATTACCAGTAAATAATTCTCTCTAGTAAATTATGGGGATGTTTGTGGTTAAGCCTAGAGTATTCTGAGTGATGAAAAATAACTATTTCTTTTTTTATTATTTTTAAGTTTATTTATTTATTTTGAGAGACATGGAGAGAGAGTGAGTGGGGGAGGGGCGCGAGAGAGGGGAATGCCAAGCAGGCTCTGCACTACTAGCACAGAACCTGATGTGGGGCTCAAACCTGCAAAGCCATGAGATCATGACCTGAGCCGAAACTAAGAGTCATAGCTGCCCAGGCACTCCCCAAAATAACTATTTTTAATAAGTATTTAAAATATACCTTTATTCTCGGGGCACCTGGGTGCTTAGTGGTCATAATCTCACGATTTGTGGGTTCGAGCCCTGAGTCGGGCTCTGTGCTGACAGCTCAGAGCCTGGAGCCTCTTTCAGATTCTGTGTCTCCCTCTCTCTCTGACCCTCCCTTGCTCACGCTCTCTCTCTCTCTCTCTCTCTCCTCTCTCTCAAAAATAAATAAAACATTAACAAAAATTTAAAAAAATATTACCTTTATTCTAACTTGTTCCAAAAATAATGTAGCTATGCTCACAGTAATAGAACTGTTTTTACCCGAAAAGCTCTTTACTATAATTCCTCTTGTGCCTGTGCAGTGATCTTGGATTGATTATGAAATACCAATGGGACTGCCATTGACAACTGCTTACATGTTTGTGATATTGCTGCTGTTCTAGTTTTGTGGCTGAGAAGATGGCTTAAAGTGCTCTGCAGTATGGTGTATGCCTTCTAAAGACCAAGGGGGTGGGAAAAATTTAAACCAGTTTTCAATTCTGTGAAATTCAGAGGACTAAGTTCTTACCTGGAAGGGTCAGCATTTTTGTTTGTCATTAGGCCTAGTCAGGGTGGGGGCTTGGGGGAGGATAGAGAGAAGAAAATGGTGTTTCCAGAACAGTGAATGAAGGGATACATTCTCAATTGAGAAGTACTTGAAGTCAAGGGGAATATATTGGAAAAGTTCTGGAGATGAGATAGTGGCTCTAATCCATTGACTTAAGCGGATCATTTGAGTACAGCCAAGAAAAACTTTCAACTGAAAAACTAAGGACTGGGTAATAGGCCAAAAAGAATTTTAGTAAATTCTCACTGCGTTCTCCTCTGCTTTTCTAGTTTTCTCAACCAGTTTGATAAAATTGTATGTAAAGCACACAGTGGAATACTTTTAACACTAAACGTGATCAATAGGAAGTTCTCAGGTTTTATTATATTATCTTTCTGTCCTTCTTGTCTCTTTGTGCTTCTTTTCTCTTTGCATTTATGGATAATCAGGTTTCTAATGTCCAAGTTAATGCAAATACAAAAAAAAGAAATTCAAAGCATCAGATAAATATGAATATCTAGCAAGTAAAAAAGGGGAAGATGACATCACAAGTCTCAGTTAACAAAGTTTATCCCTCATATACAGAGAAGAGACCTATGGAAACAAGTTGATAGTATGTATGTTTTAATCTTTTAGATTTTGAACAAGTTAGTACTACACTCGTATTTTATATTTATTATAAACAAATTGATAACTCAAAATGCATAATATAACCTTATTGAAAAATTGTTTAGCAGCATCTTCCAAAGTTAATTATGCATCTTAGCAGCACTCTCAACAATAGCTAAAACATGGAAAGAGCCCAAGTGTCCATCAACAGATGAATGGATCCAGAAGATGTGGTTTATCTATACCATGGAATACTACATGGCAATGAGAAACAATGAAATCTGGCCACGTGTAGCAACATGGATGGACCTTGAGGGTGTTATGCTGAGCGAAATAAGTCAGGCAGAGAAGGACAAATATCATATGTTTGCACATATAGGAGGATTAGGAGGAACTTGACGGAGGAATAAGGGGGAGAAGAAGGGCAGAAATGGTGGGGGAAAGGGAGAGAGGCAAACCATGAGAGACTCTTGAATGCTGACAAAAACTGAGGACTGATGGATGTGGGGGGGAGGGGAGAGAGGCTTGGAGGAGGACACTTGTGGGGATGAGCACTGAGTGTTATGTGGAAACTAATTTGACAATAAACTATTTGTAAAAAAGAAAAAAAAAGAAATTTATTTGTATAATTGAACAAATTTTTGGAGAAAATAGATGAGATGCAAAAGTAAAGAAAGAAAGAAAAGACTCAGAGTTAATAGTTACAGCAGAATGTAGCATTGAAATGTCACTGATTGGGCAGGCTATGAATTTACCTTCTATCACTGTGTCAATCATAAGAAATGAATTTCCATTTAAACTAGAAGAGAAAAAAAACCTGAAGACTCCATTAAACTTAATGTACTTGCTATGAATGCAAGTACACACCCATATAACTTCAATATTCAGAGGACTAGTTGATAATTACCCACCTCAAGTTACAGATAACAAGTTTTGAGAAACATTACACACAATTCTTCCAAATGACAAAAAAAAATAGTGCTAAAACTTTTTACTTCAAAGGAGTTTGTATTTTGTCTTTGGTAGAGGGAAAAAAAATGAACTAGAGGCAGAGAAGGACAAATATCATATGTTTGCACGTATAGGAGGATTAGGAGGAACTTAACAGAGGACCATGGGGGAGAAGAAGGGGGTAAATGGTGGGGGAAAGGGAGAGAGGCAAACCATGAGAGACTCTTGAATACTGAGAAACAAACTGAGGACTGATGGATGTGGGGGGGGGGGAGGGGGGAGATGGGCATGGAGGAGGGCACTTGTGGGGATGAGCACTGGGTGTTATATGGAAACCAACAGACAATAAACTATCTGTAAAAAAAGAAAAAAAAGTTATTTATACATCTAAAGTTAATGGCATAGCAATTCTCATTGTATGTACCCAAGAGGTATATATCTACCAAGAGATACATTCAGGAAAGTTCACAACAATAGCTATAAACTGGAAACAACCAAATGTTTATCAGCAAAAGAGTAAATAAATACATTTTGCTATACATTACTCAAAAATAACACTGAGCAAAAGATGTCAGACACAAAAAAGTCATCTAGTGTGGTTTATATGAAGTTCAATTTCAAACAAATTGAATCTATGATAATAGAAGTCAGAGTATTGGTTACTAACTAGGTGGTGAGAAGAGTATGAAATGATTGAGAAAGACCACAGGAAACTTGTAAATTATCTAAAGCTTGATCTGGATAGAGATTCACCTGTGTATAAAAATATTCATCAAGTAGTATAATTCGTGTATTCTCTATAAGCAAATGTATGATTATCATTCACCCCTATAGCATACTAAATATGTAATAACATATATAACAAAAATATCTAATGTGCACACACACATTTTAACTAATATATTAGTTAAAATGTAAGGAAAGTTACACTAATTTGTCATTCTTAACAACAGGCTTTTAATGTTGGATTGACTTTCCATTCTGTGACCACCATGGTGAACTGAACTCTGTGTTTGACTTTGATCCTCAAAGCTGTTATACTTTTCACAATGCTTTTAATTGAGTAATTAATCTTATTTTGTATTTTATAAATCTTATACAGACTAAAGGTAGTTTAAGGAGGTTTTAGGTAAAAAGAAAATGCCTGCCCAAGTTTGCAAATTAACCAAGGGTGGGCTGCATATTTAAATATGAATATATTTAATATATAATATATAGTTACATCTTATAGCATGTATGTATATGCCTGTTATATATACATATATATGTTATGTAACTATATTATGTATTTATATTTAAATTATATATAATATACACTTATATTTAAATATAATATAAAAGCTTCCTTAAACTGTGCTTTATCTCTTTTATTTTCCTTTTTTCTCCTTATATTGGTTATTCAATGGGACTGGCCAAGTAACACAAAGAATAACTTTTGTATTAAAGTAATGTGATTAAATTAAGACTGAAAATTGGTTATCGATGAAAATGTGTGGTCAAGCTCATCAAACGTTTAGAAATTTTAGCTTATTTTTGTTAATGTGATTCATCCAAGGTTTCTCATTCTACTCCTGGCTAGCAATTTTCAACAGGTTTATCAAAGGCCTTTTGGTTATGTATAGTGGACTTGGGGTTTCTAGTTTTCCTGACTCTTAAGAACTGACTTCCAGCTTCCTTTTGTCTCTTGAATTCACAGGCTGCCCTGCAAGTTGGGGGCCATGGGGAGAGGCTGCACCAGTGTCGGGAGGTCATGCTGCTCACCTACAAATCCATCCCCATGCAAGTGGATGGGGAGCCCTGTAGGCTGGCTCCAGCCATGATTCGGATCTCTTTGAGGAATCAAGCCAACATGGTACAGAAGAGCAAGAGGAGAACATCCATGCCTTTACTGAATGAGTGAGTTTGCCCCTTGCCTACCTTTGTGGACACAACGATCACAGAGAGGATGTCAGGCATGTGCATGGTCTAGGAGCCTTCCTGTGTTGAAAAAGGAAGAAAGTCCAAGAAACCACAGTTCCTTGATCTCTCACATATTTTTCTTCATGTTTATTACACAGTGACCACACACTTCTTTTAGAACTAATTGCTGTTTTGTATACTAGATAGTTCACTCTTCTTCATTGACTACTTTGCTAGACACTTATTGGGAACAGCAGACAATCATTAAGAGTGTTTCTAGGGTCACAAAATGCATCAAGATAAACATGTTCCATTTTGTTTTAAGAAGGCATGCTGTGGGCCTCCTCTTTACCTGGTCACTTGGGGAGTGTTGGGTTCCCCAATAGCAGGAGGTTGGCAGAGCTGGAGTTTTGGGGCTCACCTCTCTCCACATTGCATCCCATTCCACCTGTTAGTGAGTTATCACTTTCCCGATGCCCCCATTTTGGGGTCCTGTGTCCTCTGGTGCTTCAACTCAAGTTTGCTGTCCTGAGTGGCATCCTATTGTCTAAATACAACCTGATTCACTAGTCAACACCTAAATAAAATGCATCCCTCTTGGACCCTTTCTTTCCTTAGGTGTGTTGATGAACTGATTTGAGATAAGGTGATAATAACTAGATATTTTGAGTATATTCGTTTTATAGCACTCTTTACTCTAAATTTTTAATGGAGATGTCTGTCTGTTGTTGGAGAAGGGGATGGAGAAGGATGGGGATTTGGGGCCTCTTTTTGAGTGTCTTCTATATATAATGCCCATATGCCTAATCTAACTCAAGGTAAGGCTGTTTTCAGACTCAGCCTTGGGTCATTACTCTGTCACAATGAGAGACCCTCCAAGGTGCGACTCCTGTTTGTGGCCTGTGATGCATGGTTACCTATTTGTACTGAATGGCTGGCTTCTTGCAGTGCCTGTGAAGCAAGGGCATGCTTTGCCACATATTTCTGGACAATCTTCAGAAGTGCCTAGAATAAACCAATAACACAGGTGCCATAGCTCACTGCCAGAGCCTGACTTCACCTCTCTTTCTCAGATGGCGTGTATTGAGGAATAGCATTAGACAGGTCTCTCCAGGTGTTTGCATTTTTGACATCTGCTTTGAAGTCTGAGGCTGGAATGAGAGCTCCTCTCTCCTCTGCTTCCTCCTTTCCCAGAGTCACTCTGAACATCAGAGTCACTCAGCACTTTGCTCAGATCATTATCTAGACAACTTGTTCAGCTGTATTCCTTATTTCATTTACATTTTGCAGTTGGTGAAACCCCTCGCTCGTTCCCAATGCCTTTGTTTTCTCCCTGCCTTTACCTTCAATTAGGTTGAATATACAACTGGCAAGTATGTGTGCTAAAAAGTTAGGATGTTAGCAATGATATATGGTTGACTGTACATCTATGAACCACTGGTCCGGGAGAAAGCTCTGAAATACTAAATGAAAAACCATTTTGGAGATAGTATAGCAGCTCAGGTTGTTTTGGGTCACTTGTATACAGTTAAGAAGCTATAATAAAACTAACAGTTATTAATATCTACAGGCAAAGGCCTCCCATTCTCATTCAGACACTAAATTGTCTCCAGGTGCTTAGTTTCAAAGGGCTCTTGCCCTTGAGCTGAGAAAGAATTTGTGTTTGCTCAGCAACTGTATTGTTAAGAATTCATTTGGGCTTTCTTCACATATAAAAACAAATATGAATAGTTGTTTCCTTTTTGTACTTAGAGTACATATGGCAGATGATGTGACTGCCTAGATTTAGCTGTGAGGGTGGTCAAGAAACGGCCTCAACTCAAAATTAATGACTTGCCACCAGGGGGCAGTGGCGTGTCCATCTAAGTAGCCTCAGGCCTCCAGAAATACCTATGTGAAATGACAATCGCATAATTTTCAGTTACAGAAGGGATACTTGTAAAAGTCAACAAAGGTATTTATTACCACTTATGAAGAATAACCATCAAAACCCTGTATTTTTAGAAAATCAATCCAGATAGCACATTTTCAAAGGAAAACCAACATCTAGTGATCATGTCGCCTTGTTCACTGAAGCCTTGAGTGCTCTCCCTTACCGCTCTTGCTCACCCTCTACAATTAGATTTCTTGTGCCTGGCTTACTAGAAATTCTTGCTTTCAAATCTGACTTCCTCTGCTGGATTTCCAAGGAGAGTTTTCAGTTTGAGGGTTGTCTGTCCATTAAGACCTTTCTACAAGTTTTCTTCAACCTTCCAAGTCCTCCAGGCTTTTATCTGTTTTGGCCATGGTTTTGCCAAGTTCACTTTTACAGCCAAGGCAGAGATTTATTTCCTCCCCCACTCCCTCCTTCCTTCCCTCCCTTTCTCCCTTCCTACTTCCCTCTCTCCCTCTCTCTCTTGCTTTCTCCCATTTTCTCATTGTTTACTAACATTATCTGTTTCTTCTGTTCCATTTGCCCATCTTCTTTCAGAAGAAAGAAAACTGGTTAAAAATGTCTAGAGAATTTTAGAAACCTCTCTGTGTGATGGGGTAGGGAGTTAACTAAATATTTGAGAATTAGACATTGTGGTTCCCTAAACACCTGGCTCCCTTTTCCACCTGAACAATGGTATACCTCATGGGTTTGCCTTTCTCTGGGAGATCACATCTGTACCCCAGATTTCTTCTATGACTAAAAAGGGAATAAATCTCACAGGTATGTCTTCTATCCAGGCATTTCTTTAGAAGCGAAGACTTGCACCCAGATACCTTAGCTGACATCTTTACCTGGATATCCCCTAGCAACCTCAGACCGCAGGCTAAAAATGGGCTTGTAAACTTTGCTCCATTTGCTTTCTCTGCTCATCAGCCAATGAGCCCTTGTCATCCACACCTGTCTACATGGAACCATCTAATTATTTCCCATGACCCCGCCCTGGAGTCCTCACAGTCACCTATACTGTTACACACCCCATGCAGCCTTAGAGGTCTACCTTCTATTTATTTCCCCGTCTTTGACTCACACCACCTACCCCTCTGCTAGTAGTATAGACTTTGTTCAAAGGCCGTATAAAACTACCCCCCAACAGCATCACTAAACTATGCTCGGACTTCCTTGTTTCCAGTGTCCATGCCCTGCACATGATACCTTTTCCAATAGACTAATTGGAAGGATCCTTCTAGAAATGTTGAACTTATATTCCTTAACTTTGCATGCCCTTGTGACCATTGCCTTCATTGATCTCTTCCTGTGCTCCAGAGATCATTGCTGTTCTGGAGCAGTGGCCCGCCTTGCGCATCATCATACTTTTGCAGTTCTGATGCTTTTCTTGTAGTACCTTCCTTCCTGCCTTTTTGTCTATTAACTCATGGTCAAGTTCAAGACTCCACTGAAGTATAACTTTCCCTAAGCATCCTTTTCGATCTGCTTCTAGCCATTAGCTACTCCTGTTCTATGTTACATTCATCACACCATTTATCAATAATAGTATAGTCCTTGGTGGACTTATCACTTTACACTGCTTAGAGTTTTCCTTTTAGAGTCGTGAGTGCCTACCAGTAGGTCTGAGACATGCTTTTGTGTTGAATAGTGGGCTTGCACATGGGTTAGTTCTATAATGCTGTCTCTGTTAACATTTCTCCAAGATTGTTTCTAAAATAACATAAATCTAAAATCCATGAATATAAAAGTAATAAAGATAACGTCTTTATAACATTTGATGTTAATAAATGGAAGACACATACTTAAGAATTTTAAGATCTGGTTTGCATGGATAGGTGGGAGGATTCCCATGAGAAATGGTCAAATAGTAGGCCCTCATGATACCATTAGATCTTTACTTACGCCTAAAAGAAATTATCCCCCCCCCGAAATGTTTCTTGGTCTGTAATCCAATTTGCTATTACTACATAGAAGCTGAGGGGCTCGACTTGATATGTTCAGTCCACCCCCCACCCCACTGGTATAGGAACATATCTCATTTTACCAGGGCTTATGAATCTATTCAAAGTGAGAACTCCAATAAATATCTTCCCCCCCAAAAGTAATAGAGGAGATTTATCTAGGTTCATATTCATGTACTAGTAACATGGTGGCCAGATAAATTTGATTATACTATTCGAAAGGCACCTTTGAAAGAGATTAGAAATTTACATTTTCTCAAGTGGTCAAGGAGATGTTAAGCTAGCTGTAATCCTGAGCTCACTGGTAATTAAGACTACACTGCGAAAAGCAATCATGTTATTCAGGGGCAAGATTTCTAGTTGGCGAACTTTGAATTGGGCAGCACAGTCGATTGGATTTCATCATCCTAGCTGCTCAGAAGCAGTGTTGGTCGTAACTGAAGTCCTTTGAGGAAAACAAGGAGTTGACTCATGGTGACTTTATATGAGAATTTGCATACCCAGCAGAACACAGGGATCAGGGAGCTATTTTACTGCAGTTACAGTGAAGCTCTTCAAATCGTCTAAGAGAATAGAGAGAATGTCTATGTAAAGGTGACAACAGATTTTTTATTTCGTTTCTTCAAATTTATGTTTCATCTTTTCCAATAGCAGCCAAAGGTTCCCTCTTTTATAAGAGAAGAGAGAAAAGGGAGACGTCTGTGATTTCACTCTTCTACCAAGAACAGAGTGGAATTATCACCGTGATGAATTTAGGCTGTCTTGGTGTTATCTTCAGAGTCCTTAAAGTTTTTGTTAAACCATTCTTTTCAAGATGGTTGTATTTCGATGCAGATTTCCTACAGAGGTTTGGAATCATGATGACTGTGTTAAAGGATTAAATTTACCTTGACTCTCCTCAAAGATGAGTTTACTATGCTAGCCTACCCCCCCCACCCCAGTATGTGTGTGTGTGTTTGCGCGCGTGTGTGTGTGCGTGCGCACATGCGCAGATCCTCTCCTTGGATGTCTTGAACGACCTAGAACAAGAGAGGACCACGATGATGCCTCCTGCCCGCAGCCCCGCCCAGTGTCCACGCATCTGCCCGCGCCCTGCCCTGCACTGCAGCCCGCGGCTTGCCGTAGAGCCAGCCCTTGCCCTGTGTCCTGTTGGCTTCATTGCTATCACCGGCTTTTTGGATTATGTCCGTGGCTGGCTGGATTTTCCTTTTCTTTTCATTCACTGTTTGGTGACGCGCTCATTTAATTTCTGTTTAAATTTTGTGTGTCTCTCTCTCTCTCTCTCCTGGCTTGTTCCCTGTCTGTCCACGCTGTTGTGCTGACTGTCTTCGCTGCTCATTCCCTGCTGCCTCTAGTATCCATCAGGTGCCAGCTGCCGACCTGCGGAGAGTATCGGCCCCCCCAGGCTCCTTCGCCACGTGAGTACAAAGCCGGCCCGTTTCTACACTTTGGCTAGCACCCTCATCTCCTCCTCAGGGTTAGACGTCCTGCCTCCTTTTTGCTCACAGGTCTGCTCCTCAGACAAGGACCCGCGAGCCCTAATTGCCTTCGTTACCCCTCTGTGATTTGGGATGGAGCTGTCCAGTTCTTTGTGTCCTATTTGTCTCAGTCTTCTAAGGGTTCAGTTTAAAATTTTTGATGAGATAAGTGAGGACCCATAATTGCATGAGGTTGTAGAAAATTCCATCCTAAGCATTGGTTTCCATGGTAAGTTTGTAAGAGCAACAGACCACTCTGTTATCTGTAGCTCAGGGACGATGTTGAAGATGATGTTGAAGGTGTGCCTGCTGTCCTTAATTTGTGAATGAACCCCTACAATTGTGGAGGTTTTTAAAAAAAATTTTTTTAATTTTTTATTTATTTCTAGGAGAGAGAGTGAGAGACAGTGTGAGCAGGGGAGGATCAGAGAGAGAGGGAGTCACAGACTGAGGCAGGCTCCAGGCTCTGAGCTGGCAGTCAGCACAGAGCCTGACGCGGGGCTCGAACCCACAAACCAGAGATCATGACCTAAGCGAAAGTCGGACGCTTAACCGACTAAGCCACCCAGGTGCCCCTAAAATTGTGGAGTTTTGAGTGCATGCATGCATCTGGGTGTGATTTGGGTTCAGCATCCATGGTTGAAATAAAAGATCAATGACCCAAAAGTCCTGAGTTAGCAAAACACACTTGAGTGTTAGTAATTCTTACTTAACGCATTCTATGCTTTTATTTTTTTCTGGGGAAAAGTGTTTTTGAGCACTTTGGGACTTCTTTTTTATCTTGTTGCCTCTGCGTTGCTCTTTTTCTTTATCATACAAATGCTTAGCTTTTGTTATGGTTCAGGTACTGTTACAGGTGCTTTACATTAATTACTTTTCCCGACATGTGGTATTATCTCCACGCGTGGCATTGCGAGGACTCTGATGCACAAAGAGGTTAACTAACTTGCTTAAGGTCACACAGCTAGCAAGTGGTAGACTGGGTTGCAAACTCAGATGGTCTGGCTTCAAAGTTCACACGTTCAACAATTTGCAGCTTGGCACCTTTCATCTATGAGGATCCTGTGTATTTCTTCACCCTAGTTGAATCATTGGCTTTTCAAAGAATTCTTTGTGGCTTCATGTTGCATTAGTTACCTTCTCATTAGAGTTCACTATTGATATGCTTATTATAGCTCTCAAGGTTTAATAGGCTGGTATTAATTACATTAGCTCTATATGTGTGTGTGTCACACACTAGACTGAGGCTACTTGAGTTCATTGACCACATCTTTTTTGAATTTTCATGTCCCCAGCCCTGATCACAGATCTTAACACAAATTGCTTGAAACCAAGCAGAGTTGTTAGTTGGCAGGATGAATGAAAGAAAGAATTTATGTCTACATTGAACTGTACCATATCTAACATCTAGGGATATGCCAAAGTGATTCCTAAAGTTCAATCATATAATTTTACCTTCAGCCCTAGTCTTATTGATACACAATTTATTCACTGAATACAATACATTTTTTCAAAAACATTACTTTATACTTGCTTTGTGCCCACTGTTTTGTGCTTAGATTCTTGTGTTGCCCACAACAGAACACTGCCTTCGTGGGAATTAAAATTGAGTGGTCAGAGACTCAACAGGAAAAAACTTGTAGTTTTCAATTTGGAGGTCATTCTGGGGTATAGCCTACATTCTATAAAAGGCTTGCTTCTTCAGTAGACTGGAGTCTAAGGAATGGGGTTCAGTGGTTATTTTCAGTGGCCCTGTTGATAGGGTTCAAAGAATTGAGAATATCAACAATAGAGGTGCATGTGGAATTAGTCAATTTCTATTATAGTTTAAGTTTGGGTGGTGTTTTAAGTTTCAGTTGTATAATTTAAATGAGGCTCTTTTTTTCTGATTCCAGGTGCCTACACTACAGAAAGGTAAACTGTCCTATTTTGATAGGGTGTAAGAGGAAGAATGCCTATGTGTTGCCACTTTAAAAGTTGAACCTGGTTCTAAAATATATCTGTACATGATATATCAACTATTAACATATTATAGATGTTAGGTCTATAGGACATCTACAGATGTCTGATGTCAGAGATACAAAGGCATCTCTGAAATATGTCTGTAATAGAAACTTATTACAATAGAATTTAAAGGACCTATAAGAAAATACTGTCAAGGAGCCTGGGAGAAAAAGCCAAGAACAATAATAAGTAATGTGTCTTTCTGTATCATGGCAGGGGTTAACAGTTTTCACCTGTTCTTATGCTATTTTCAACAGTGTTTAATAATCACATGAATCTTGCTTTGGTCCTCATGAAAGTCAGGACCCCAGTATTTTGAACTCTAAGCTTGTCTCATTTTTTTTTTTTTATACTGTTGGTCAGCCATTTTCTGCTAAGAAAACTCTTCTATAGATGATCTCTTCTGGGGAGAAGCGTCTCTACTGATCCTGTAGGAAATGTTGGTCTCCTAAAGCAACTTGCATGATCTTTCTTTCTCTCTAGCTTTCTAATAACTTTTTGTTGTTGTTGGAAGAAGGTCTGTGCACATGGGACATTTCACCTTTATTCAGAGAATCCTGAAATTTTATTTTTGTTCACATATGACCACATATGAATCCTGAGACTTATTCCAAAGCATTTAGTGGCTTTGTCCAATAGAATACAACATAGCAGGGGTGCATGTGTGGCTCAGTCAGTTAAGCGTCCAGCTTTGGCTCAGGTTATGATCTCATGGTTCATGAGTTCGAGACCTGCATCAGGCTTTGTGCTGACAGCTCAGAGCCTGGAGCCTCCTTCAAATTCTGTGTCTCCCTTTCTCTCTGCCCTCCCTCTGCTTGTGCTCTGTCTCTCTCAAACATAAATAAACATTAAAAAATTAAAAAAACAAAGCAACTTCATTGCACATCTTGTGCATGTAGCTTAATGAATTATTAGAGCAATGCCTCAGTTGAAAAAATCTTTATAATTAAGTGACTTCATAGTAAAGTCCTCACTGAAGGGCACATATGCACACCAAATTTTATAAATCATGAGTATCCATGCTAAACATTCCGGCTACTAGCTTCTGTGAGCTAATGCCAAAGTAACACAGAGGTGTGTAATTGTAAAATGTCTTTCTAAAGCTTTTCTCTTGCAGTAACTTCTTATTAAATTCCACTTTTTTCCTGTTCTACTCCATCAAAATGAAATAATGTAAACGATTTATACCTAATTTAGTTAACTCTTCATCTTTCAAAAAAATATTGAGTGCTTTCTTTCAATACCAGGAGTTCTGCGGGATATTGGAGATACAGAGATTAGAAAGCTAGGGTTTCTGTCCTAGAGAAATGGACATGCCAAGGATAGACCCAGTTTGTTGCTTGCAGTACAATTACAATGCCATGTAACAAGCATTCCAGTACAGATTCTGGTTGTATTTCCATGTGAATAACTGAGTATTTATTACATTTGTCTTTTATTTTTTAGTACTTAAAATTAATATACACTAAAGTTGACTTTTTAGGTATACATTTGGGAGTTTTAAGACAGGTATAGATTCATATAACCAGCACCCTAATCCAGATACAGAACCATTCTACTACCCCAGAAATCTGCCTAATCCTAACTCCCAATCTCAACCTCTGGCAACCACTAATCACTATAGTTTTGTATTTTTGAGATTACCACATAAATGGAATCATACAGTATGTAACCCTTTGCAATTGGTTTCTTTAAAAAAGTTTTTTTTTTTATTGTATATCTATTTTGGAGAGAGAAAGATAGAGAGAGAGAGCACAAGCAGGTGAGGGGCAGAGAGAGGAGGAGACACAGAATCCACAGCAGGTTCCAGGCTCTAGGCTATCAGCACAGAGCCCAACGTGGGGCTTGAACTCACAAACCGTGAGATCATGACCTGAGTCGAATCAGACACTTAACCTACTGAGCCACCCAGGCATCCTGCAGTTTGCTTCTTTCAACATAACGTCTTGGAGATTTATCCAAATTTTTGCATATTATTAATCACATGTTCCTTTTTATTGTTTAGTCATATTCTGTTAATATAGATGTTTTCATTTATTTACCCATCTGCTTGTTGAAGGACGTCTAGGTCATTTTTAGTTTTAGGCAATTGTGAATAAAGCTGCTATTGGCATTGAGGAACAAGTTTTATGTAAATTTAAATTTTCATTTCTCTCAGTTAAACACCCTTCTCTAGGAAGGGGATTCCTGAGTCCTATGGTAAATGTATGTTTAACTTCGTAAGAAACTGACTCAGTATTTTCTAGAGTGCGAATTTTGCATTTCTACCAGCAGGGGATGAGAGAGAGTTCCCGTTTGTCTCCATCACTGCCAGCACTTGGTCTGGCCAACACTTTAAAATTTTAATGAGTGTCTTTTCATTATTTGCCATCTATTTTATACTCTGATGACACATCTGCTCCAAGTCCTTTGCCTATTTTTAAATTGGGCTGTTTTTTTTTTTTTCTTTTGACTTCTGAGATTTGGCCCCACATTCTAGATCTGAGTGCTTTGTTAGAGATGTGCTTTGCAAATATTATTTCCTGATACACATCTTGTCTTTTCATTGTCTTTACAAAGTCCAAATTCTTAAGATTTTCTTCATATGGCTGTATTTTTGGTGTTCTGTTTCAGAGCTCTTGGTTTAATCCCAGGTCATACATATTTTCTCCTTTGCTTTCCTCTGGAAGTTTTGCAGTTTTATATTTTACATTCAGTTCTATGATTTGAGTTAATTTCTGTATAAGATGTGAGGTTTAGGATAGTGTTTTATTTTGTTTTTATACATAAATATTCAATGAGTCAGCACAATTTTTTGAAAAGACTATTTTTTCATTGAATTGCCTTTACATCTTAATAAAAAATCAGTTGGGGGACACCTGGGTTGCTCAGTTGGTTAAGCGTCCAACTTTGGCTCAGGTCATAATCACACGGTTCGTGGGTTCGAGGCCTGTGTT